GAGGTTGGAAAGGGACAGGAGGTGGTCGGCGGTCCTCCCAGCTGAGCTGAGATGCTGGATGGCACGCGCTTCCCCAGCAAGAAAGCGTTTGCAGAAAGGTTGCGGGAATCCGTGGCGCATACTAAGTGCTGCTTTGGGAAGGTGAGTTTCACTGCAGCCCGGAACGAATTCACGAGGGAAGGGACCACGGCAGAGGTCTGGGAGCACTGCTCGGATGCTCACTCCAGCACGGGAGAAAAATGAGCAGACCTTTCCTCCAGCCCTCAGGGGATACAAGGACGTCTTGAACTTCTCTGGCAATTCACAGCTGGGTGTGGGTTTCACTTTTTATATCCACTCATTCATCTTTGAGATGATGCTCGACATTAGCAGAACAGTTAGCATCACCTCCTTGCACAGAGAGAGAAACTGAGGCTCAGAGAGGTTCAGTCGCTTGCCCCGGGGCTGTTCCTACGCGGTGGTTAAGAGAAGCCCTAACCCGGAGTCACAGGTCATCCTGGGCTGAGCCCGAGTTCTGCTGGGGAAGCAAACCCTAGACACAGAGTAAAACCCCAAACTGTAGCACAGTGCAAATGTGTGAGAGCCGAAGACGGGCCTTGAATTATTATCAACAAACACATTAACCCGGGACGGGCTGTACCGTCAAGCACATCAGGGGTTTGAAGTGGCTTTTCTTTGGATCTTCCTATCGCTGAGTGTCCTGTCGCTAACTTCTGTCCTGTGCAGAAGTTTTAAACCCGGGTGTTAGAACGAGACCCTGGCCCAAGCCCCACCTGCGCCATTGGCCAAATGAACTTGGACTCCACCTCGTGGAGCTTCAGAGGCTCCCACCTGTCAAGGGACAGTCACACACCCAGCTCTCACGGGGACGGCCACCATGCAGGTCTGTGATGACACGTGTAGAGCACGCGGTGTGCGCCTGGCCTACTCAGGCGGGGTTCAGTAAGTGAAGGCAAGTTTTGAAAACGTTTCCGGGGGCGCCCTGGTGGCTCAGTAGGTTAAGCGTCCGACTTCGGCTCAGGTCCCGATGTCACGGTTCGTGAGTTCAAGCCCCGCATCGGGCTCTCCGCTGTCAGCGTGGAGCCCACTTGGGATTCTCTGTCTCCCTTTCTCGGCCCCTTCCCCCCCACATTTTTCTCCCCCTCCCCCTCTCTCGCAAAAAATAAACATTAAAAAAGTTTTTAAAGGTTTACAAAAGAGAATTGGCACTCCGGGGGCACAAACATACCCTAGTACCTTCATACATCCTCACTCTTCACAACAAGGCAGTTTTTACTACTCCCATTTTATAGATGCTCCCATTTTATAGATGAGGAAACTGAGGCCGGAGGAAGTTTTGCTTGCCCAAGGTCACACAGCCGAGAGGTGGAATAACTATGATTTAGACTTGGGTCTGGCTCCAAAATCATGACTTGTTTTACTCTGCCACACGATTTATGACAGCGTGAGAACTGGATGTCACAGGATTCTCGTGGAGGCACAGAGGCTGACATGATGATGTTTCAGGGCCACCGAGAGGAGCAAGCTGGGAGTGCCACCCTGCTTATAGGACTTTGGTCTAGACTGGGATTTGCATGGCCTCAAGTACACCCTATTAGGTCTCCAGGCCTTTCCTCCTTCCTTATCTCTCCCCTCCTACTGCTTTGAAGGATTTTCAGATCAAACGTGCAGCCGCTCTCCTGCGGGATAATCCTGTCGCCTGTAACCTTGTTTTCCGAGTGTCCTTCACAAAGAAGGGCTTCAGCCAAAAATTTCTCCCTCAGCGTAATCACACAATTTTTCTCGGCCTTCGCTAGCCCTCAGGAAGGAAAGGTAGATGACTGCCTTCAGAAGCATGTTTATGCTGAGGAACGTCCCAGAATAAATTAGCCAGCCGTCAGAAAGTGCCAGATATGCCATTTTCCCACCCTCCTATTTTCAGCCCTGGATCTTTCCTTCTTAAACGCCACCTCCTTTTTTCCTTACCGAGGGAGGGCCGGCACTTTTTTTTTTTTTTTTTTTTTTTTATATTTGCCCAGTCCTGGGACAGGGGCATCTTGGCACCAAAGAAATCTTGTTCCTCTGGGTAAGAATTTGTAAGATTCTAAGACCCAGACATGATCAGCAAGTTGAGAACGGAACCAAAAATACTTTCAATCACCCAAGGGAAGCAAAAGCCCAGGGGATCCAGGATTAAAGATAACAAGACAGCACCCCAGAGGGGCACCCGGGTGGCTCAGTCGGTTGAGCGTCCGACTTTGGCTCAGGTCACGATCTCATGGTTCGTGAGTTGGAGCCCCGCGTCAGGCTCTGTGCTGCCAGCTCGGAGCCTGGAACCTGCTTCCGATTATGAGTCTCCCTCTCTCTCTGCCCCTCCCCCGCTCCTGCTCTCTCTCCCTCTCTCAAAAATAAATAAAAACATTAAAACAGAAAAAAAGACAGCACCTAAGAGTGCAGAAATAATCAACAAGTGTTGGGGGTGGGGGCAGAGCTGCGTCACGGGGCCCTGGGTCTCTGTGAAACGTGGCTTGCTGGAGAAACCCTCCTGATGTAATTTACAGAGGCCCCCTGACAAGCCCCCGACACCCCTTCTCTTAGGGAAAGCTCCATTTGTCTTTGGAAACATCCCCGGCTTCCCACTTCTTCCCTGTGATTTCCAGGGATTTCAGAGGAGCCCCCGAATGGCAACGGGAAGACGTACTTGAAACTGAATGACTTTTAGGTTCTTGAACGGCATGTGGACCCTACCTTGACCTTTTTCTCTTGCCATTCTTCTTTCGTACAGAGAGATTGCAAGCAATATGAAGGGGAGTTGCATTTCTTTCCCCCCGCGCCCGCACACACACCTCCTCTCTCCATGCCATAATCCGGTCCGATCCAAAGAAAAACCACTTTCCCTCAGCTGGAGGTTTGCAAAGGTAGAGTATAACATCCAGCAGAAGGACCTCTTTTCAAAATGGAAGGTAATCTGAAAATGTTCTGCTGCTCTTCTGACATTGGGTTTCTTTTTCTTTTTTCTTTTAAGTTTATTTATTTGTTTTCAGAGAGAAGGAGAGAGCGTGGGTAGGTGAGGGGCAGAGAGAGAGAGAGGGAGAGAGAGAGAATCCCAAGTGGGCTCCATGCTGTCAGTACAGAGCCCGACGTGGGGCTCGACCTCACAACCATGAGATCATGACCTGAGCCAAAATCAAGAGCCAGACACTCAACTGACTGAGCCACCCAGGTGCCCCCTGGCATTGGGTTTCTTAACGTCTGAATCTGAAGAAGCATCTTCCCCGATACCCCCCACCCTATGTCCCTAACACACACACACGCGCACACGAGCGCGCACACACACACACACACACACACCTGTCAGGTCCCCAGCAACTCAAACTCTATCAAATTTTTTGGCCCCACCTAGTCCTACTGAATCAAAAATTCTGGGGGTGGGGCCTAGCAATTCCCTAATCACCCGAAGAACTTATTCATTCATAAATTCCTGGCCTTCACCCCCAGAGATTTTGATTCAGGAATTCTGCGGTGGGACCCAAGAATTTACATTTACATCAAACTCCCAGATGGTGCTGTTGCCACTGGTCCAGTGAGTAGCTCTGCTGTACACAGCTTCCCAGCTGCCTCCAGGGCACAGATTTCTTTCCTACGCTAAGTGGTAAACTGTGTGCAAAGATCACGGGTGCACAGACAGGTGGGGAGGGGAGGGGGGTGGTGCAGACTCAAAGAAGGAAAAGTTCTGGTATAGGAAGCAATGCATGGAAGAGAGATCTGTTCTGCTTCGGCACACTTGACCAAAACTTTACTTTCTGGTGATTTCCATCTCTCTGTCTCTGGTCCATATTACTTTCCCAACTGATGCAGACCTACCAATGGTTTCCTAAGGGCCTTATAAAAACGCTGTTGCAAGACGTAGCCCAACAAAAGGATGAAAAGAATACAATCCCAGGACCCAAGGGCAGACCCCTGGTGCCACAGGATGTGGGGGCGGGGACGCCCTGCCTGTGAGAGGTCTGACAGAGCTTTGTGACTCTCTCCTGGGTTCCCACCGGTCCTGTCCACACAGCATGTGGACTTCACCGAAATCACCTGGTTAAACACAGATCTCTGGCCCCATCCCTGGAGTTTCTGATTCGGTAGACTGGGCGTGGGGTCCAGCATGAGCACCTGCATTTTCAGTAAGCTCCCAGGGATGGGGGTGCCTGGGCGGCTCAGTCGGTTAAGCCTCCGACTTCGGCTCAGGTCATGATCTCGCGGTTTGTGAGTTCGAGCCCCACGCGGGCTCTGTGCCGACAGCTCGGAGCCTGGGGCCTGCTTTGGATCTGTGTCTCCCTCTCTCTCTCTGCTCTTCCCCCGCTCATGTTCTGTCTCTCTCTCCTTCAAAAATAAATAAACATTAAAAAAATTTTTTTTAAAAAACCTCCCAGGGATGTGTCTGCTGCTTGCCCAGGGACCCCGCCGGAGGGGGGGGGGGGGCGCCGCCCCGGCGTGCGTAACTCAAGTAATGCCAGGAGTCATTTAGGGTCATCCCGACCAGCAGCCACCCAAGAACAATTCTGGAAGGTAAGTTGCTTCCGGCCCAGCGTGAATACATAAGGAAGCATCTGAATCTAGCAGCTGCCTCAGAAATGGGAGCCCGGCGTTCTGCAGAAACCGACACAGCCGTGCCCGGACGGTGCCTTTTGCGAAACTCCAAAACGTTACATTTCTCTTCTTGCGCAGAAAGTCACTGTCGCTCTACTGCACCCGGAAGTTTGTACCCTCCTCTGAGCATCACATCTCTCTTGGCTTCTGGTCAAGTTTTGACTGTTGCGCACGGTTTGCCAGAGGACGTGGTGTTCAGTGTCCGAGGATGGTCCGGGGCATGCTTGTCGGTGTGACCCGTCTTCAGCCTCGGAACTGGGCTTGTTGACGAGGGGGAGGCCAGCCTGTCTCACTGTGTCATTTCTCTCTTCTCTCTCCCCCCTCTCCCCACTCCCCCACCCCCACCCCGCGTCTCCGCTCCCCCACCCCAACCCCCATCCCAGTGCATGCGCAGAAACAGAACAGGCAGACCTGCGTCCGCAAGAGCCTCATCTGCGCCTTCGCCATGGCCTTCATCATAAGCGTCATGCTGATCGCGGCCAACCAGATCCTCCGGAGCGGCATGGAGTAGGCCGCCCCCCACCGGGCTGCGTGCCCAGCTCACCGCGCATGCGCATGCCCAGCGGGCAGACTCTGTTCCTCCGCAAAAGCAGATACGGTTGCAGACCAGGCACGGTCGGGCGAAGACCCCCCCAAGGCTGCAGTGCAACAGGTGTTGCCCATTCACTTCATCTCCTTGGCAGGGACACCAAAGGGCTGTCTTAAATGCTTTAATGGTTTTGTTTCCTAATGCAATAAAATAGCCAGGAGTTCCCAGTGACTGCTTCAACCACCCCTAGGAACTCTGAAGAGAGACTTCATTTCCATCCCGGGATTCCAGGGGCCACCCAGGCTGGCGGTGTTAAGAGAGCAAGGGCGAGGCGTCAGCCCGCGGCCACCTCCGTGCCCCCTGTCCTTTCAACCCCAGGGGTCCGCTGGAGACTCCCGGCTGTGGGAACCCTCAGTCCCAAGAGGCTGGCTGCTGGGTTGCTACGGAAGAGGGGGCTTCCTTCCTCCACCCAGTGGAGCCCCCCCCCACCCCCCACCCCAAGGCGTGAGGGGAAAGCCATCGAGCGGGGTGCAGCGCCGCACCCCTTCGCTTCCGTTCTTACTGCCTTTTCTAGAGGACTCTTGTTGGCAGAGTTGGGGAGCTCTCGGTTTCCGTCGGCACTTGGCTTTGTGTTCCTAGAGCCCATCGCGCACCAGCATTTTGGAATCTGCAGAGAGCCTTTCTCCCGGCTTTTGCCACCTGTGCTGCCATTCGTGGAAAAAAAAAAAAAAAGCATTCTCGTGGGCATCCCTGTAACATAGACATGTAGACAGACGTATATACTGGGCTCCTTCGTGTGTGACATCCCCCTTTCCTAATCGCTTACTCCCGGTATAAGCTCGTCCTCCGACATGCGTCCCCGCCTCTTTCGGGTGGACCAGGTAGTTCGGGGGTGGGGGGTGCGGGGAGGGCCTGGGACCCTCACACCCCACTCGCCCGGAGTCGCGGAGCCCGAACCCGCCTCCGTGCCAGCAGACCTCGGTCAGCGAAGGGCCTCGAGCACCTTATCTTCTCCTCCATTTCCAACTTGCTTTGTTAGTCGTCCCCCGAGCAAAAAGAGAAATACGGTCCACAGTGGAAAGACGGAAACGTACATGACCTCTTGCAGCGGTCAGATTCTGCAACTGACTCGTTTTCCCCCCACCCGGGGAAACAAAGAGACGGGAAGCAGCGCAGCCAGCAGGTAATTCGCTCCTGCCTGCGGAGTACTTCTGCTGGGGGGGGATGGGGTGCAGGGACCCGAAGCCCAGGGTCCCTCTTCAGTGGCATGTCAACCTGTAGTTTCCCGACTTTTCCCAGACGCCGTATCAGCCACCGCTATTGATTCAAGCTTGCACAGTCCGATCGGCCCATAACCTTTCCATGCCGTGTTTTCCTTTGCACTTTTCCAAGCTCAGGTCTTTATTTCTGCAGTAGAATGGTGTCGCGCCCCTTTCTTTCCATTGCATCCTGAAGCTACGTGCTTTTTCCCTCTCCCTTTTCCCCTGTCTTCCAGTATGGGGGTGCCAGAATGTCTCATCTCTAGGTTTTGCGGGGGGGGTCCCCTGAACCCCTCCCTCAGGGCCCCCCCCCTCTCTGTTTTCTCCCTTTCCGCCTTTTCCAACCTGACTTGTCCTTATAGGGTCTTTTTCCAGTTCGACTCTGCAAGCACTTCCTGCAGCAGCCTTGGGGGGGGGGGGGGGGTGGGGGCAGCTGTCGAAACTTCCCCACGGTGGGAGCCCGCAAATATTCCTGATGAGCACAAGTAAAACTAGGGTTTGAGCCATAGTACGGAGCAGGTGTGAGCTCCCGAGAGCCCTGGGGGTTGAGGGTCCTGCTGGGAAAATGCCCAGAGTCTTACCGGGAGTTCCTTCCAGGCCAAGGAAGGCAACAGCCTGCCTCTCCCCCCTTGCCCGCTCCACCCTGCCACAATACCCAGTGCACGTCTGCCTCCTCTCTCTCCCCCTGCCCAACTCCCCACGGTCCCTTCAGGATGGGCTTCCAGAAGGAGGACAGGTCCGAGCGCAGAACACTAACACAGATGACTGCGTCATTAGGTTTTGCCCCAAGCGGCTTACCTTGGGGGGGGGGGGG